CACGGATGGTATTTCTGTTCGGCATCGAGCAGGCTGTGCCGGTTTATTAAGATCGCCCAGATCATGTCGTGCGTCCCCCCTCCGGGTACACACTACGAACTACAAACACTGTCTTGGCTTCGGGTGCCAACATACCATATACATATACACACCATATGTCGCACGCATTCATGCTGTAAAAAAAGATACTGCTTCAAGAGCGTAGAATCGCGAAGAAAAGTGTGCAAGACGTGAATCATGCCTGCAAGGCTACAAATCTGTAGATGCCATAAAAGACCCGAACGCTGAGAGAATACAGTAGGAAACTCTTCCAACGCGCGTCGATTAATTTCCTTTTACTATTGTATTCTTCTTTCATTTTATATTTCTGTCTGTTCTAGTCACGGCCGAGATATCGAGCAACACGACCCATGTTTTTCTCTTGCCATTAATCCAAAAAAATAAAAAAATAAATAACAATAGATAAAAAATAAATATATAAATAAATAAAAAGCAAACTATTTGGTGTGTACACTTGGTTTACCTCGCCCCTCAAGACCGGCAGCAGGATGTCTGTGACCGCTCCGAGATCGATCGCTGCTTCGCCGATCGCCGCGGCGCACTCGTCCACCGCCTGCCTAACCTCCACCTCGTCGTCCCTGGTTGAGGTCAAAGGTTAAAGGTTAAAAAGGGTAGAATCGTTGCTCTTATCGCTTGTCGCTCTTCGCTTTAGTACTGGTGTCGGTGTCATCGTAGTGCTGTCGCTACCTCACTATGTTGTTGTTGTTGTTGTTGTTTGTAGTTTGTTGTTTGTTTGTTGATGTTATTGTTGCTGCTGTTGTTGTTGCTGCTGCTGCTGCTATCGTTGTTTGTGGTGGTGGTTGTGGCGGCGGGTGTTGTCGTAGATGCTGACGTTGCCATCCCATCGTTCCGCTAGTTGTCCCCTCCCCTCATCCTTGCCGGGATGCCATGCATGCCATCGTCCTCGTCTTCGCCGTCGAGACGTTGACGGGTAGCAGCAAGCAACCAGACCGACCTCGGCAACAAAAGCTAATAATAAGGCTAACCACTAAAAAAGATAACGGCACTGGAAGGCAACAAACGCCACCGATTGCCGACACGCACACAAAACACAAAAAATAAACACGGCAAAAACAATTACAGCTCCGTTACCGACGAAAACAGCGGTAGTACGTACAGCAGCAGCTGTGCCGTTCCCGACACCTCCAAAGAAAACAAACAAAAAAAAGGTACACAATTGGTAGCTCCTACATACCGACGAACACAGCAAGTC